AATCCCACCTTGTGAGAAGTGCTTGAAGAAGGTGACTTCTCAGATCCCATCCCATTCTAAAATGTGTGATTGGAAAACTTGGATTTTAGGGAACAGCCACCTAGCCTAGTAAAAACATGGAACGTTAGACCTGAAATGAAAGGTCACCAGATTAAAAAAAAAAAAATACAAATCTTGATGATTAACATAAGAAGTAAAAAAAAAGGGGGGGGGACTTGTGGTGCCCAGGTCCATAGAAGGTTGTCACCCTGAGCGTGGCCACCAGGAGTTCCCGCATCTCTGCACGGACATTCGGACATTCGGAAGCAACTGCCACTGTGCCCTTTGAGATGTAGATTGGATAGAAGGAACAACTTCCTGACAGCACACAGTGTTCCACACTGATCAGAGGACTTGGGCAGTGTTGAAGTCTTCTCTAGAGATGCTGGAAAGCAGAATGGGCTTCCATCCATCTGACCTGCTCGAAGCAGTTCTGTCCAGGAACCGGAATGGACACTGGCCTCAGTGTCCTTGGCAGCATCGTGCGCTCTGAAGAGCTTGAGGAGGCTTAGTTCATGATAATTAAACGTCACTCGAGCCTTCTCATTGGCCACAGGTGGGATTATCTATTTTTTCCAGTGGTGGTAATATCTGCCTAAATTATTTCTTGAATCTTACATTTGGTTTCCTTAAACAGATAAGCCCTAAATGTCTGCTAAAAATTTCCCCTATTGGTTGCTCAGAGTTTTTTTTTTTTTAATTTCCCCCTTGAAGGTAATTAATTCGTAACTTATTGCATTCTTTAGAATACGCTTTTTTCTGACAAGCCTTTCCCTTGCCTGCCAAATGAAGCTGCCAGTCAGAGGGATGTCTTTATCTTCTCTTTGCCAGCCTGCCAAGCAGCCATAAAATGCGTGGCCCTGTAAGTGTGAATGTCAAAAGACCATGAAGAGCTAAGCCTAGCCCACCTTCCTTCACTGCCCTGTCTGCTCTTGGAAGCTGTTCCTAGGCCACAGGTGCCAGGTGTGGCTCAGTGCTGCCCCTCCCTTGGTGCTGTTGGTGACTATTTGATGGGATAAGCACAAGAATGTAGGTGACTGTAGGTCTGTGCTGTCACCTCCTTCTCAGGATCCCATCCTCACTTCCTGTAGTTGGCCCACCTCCCACATACAAACCGACACTGATGTAAGGGTGCCCACCGTGTTCGCCCTCCTTGCTGTCTGCAAAAGCACAGTCCAGGGCGAGGCCTTCACTGAAGGCACGGCCGAGTCTCTCAGGCACTGCTCCAGTTGCAGCTGCTCGGCTGGAGTCACCCGTGTCGTTCCCGCTGGAAGCCCCACAGCCCAGGTGTCTGTTCCTGCTTGGCCCTGCGGACCATGCACCTGTAAGGGCTTCAGTCTGTGCTCCTTGCTTTTCTTGGTTGCTTGGAGTGTGTGTTGTCCAGAGCACGTGGATGGGCACTTTGCACATCTGTTCCTTGTGAGGACATTGATGATGGCAGAATTTTACCCACTTGGAGGAATCTTTTCTTTTTAACCTCTGTTAAAATTAACAAAATAGAGGCCTGGTGTGGTAGCCTCGTAGTTAGAGTCCACTCCTTGCATGCACAGGGATTCGTATCCAGCTGCTCCACTTCCCATCCAGCTCCCTTCTTGTGGTTTGGGAAAGCAGTCGACAATGGCCCAAAGCCTTGGGAACCTGTGCCTGCACAGGAGACCTAGAAGAAGCTCCTGGCCCCTGGCTTCAGATTGGCTCAAGCTCAGGCCATTTCAGCCATTTGGGGAGTGAACCAGTGGATGGAAGATCTTTCTCTCTGCCTCTTCTCTCTGTAAATCTGACTTTCCAATAAAAATGAAAACAAAATTAAGAAAATATTTCATTTTGTTAGGGTTTTTTGTTTCTTTTTTTTCCCAATAAAACGTAGTGATGAAACCTGCAAATAAATGTAAAAATGAGATAAAACATTCTCTTTAATCTTGGCCAGCCTCTAATGTGGGTGTCTTGCTTTTGGGGTTCCAGTTTCAAACTTTGTCTTTAGAAGCATATTCCCAAGACTCCAGAAAGATGCAGGCCAATCAGAGAGCCCTTTTAAGAGCATGAGGCTCCTGTTAACACCGACCAGACCATCTTGGAAACTCTTGCTTCTTCTTCTCTTTAGAACTGGGCTAGTTATATTTCCTTGAACATGGCCTGTGTCTTCATCCTGCCCCATCAGTTCTTTGTCTTTCCTAAGGAAAGGCGGGGGAGGGTGTTTCACAGTTCACTGCTCTCTCTCCTGCTAGGAATAATTGCTTGATTTCTATTATTGTTCATAGCACTTCCTGAACTAGATTCATTTCTTTCAGTTTCATTTGTCTTTTCAAGACAGCAATTTCTTTGACTAAAATTATAACAAGACGTGATAATCAGGTGCATGTGAAGTGGGGCCAAATTCCTTTTTTATCTTGAAGACTGCAGTTTTGGAAAATGTCCTTCAGAGTCTGTCGTGTGAGACCTACGCCCCTGGGACTACCCCAGCACAGAGCACTCACAGGTTCGCCAAGAGCCTCCCACAGCTACATCGCTAATGCCAGAGTGAGGGTTAAGCTCAGTTCACATGGCACCTACACAGATCCCGGGAAATTCAGGGAATCTGAACAAGAGACAGCGGCAGTGTTTCCAGTGCAGCACAGGCAGACACACCTCTGAGCCTGGGATGGTCAGGAGCTCCCCAAGTATTCCAAACCGTTCCGGACAGTGAGCTTCCAATTGTCATAGCTGTAACATAGCCTCAGGATGACCCCACAGAATTTCAGTTTTTTAGCCAAACTGGATATTGATTTTAACTAAAACATTTTCCCAATGAATTCATTCAACTAATGTAGGAAGTAGAAATGGCCAGTGCTGGTCACTGCATTGCTTGGGATTTTGTTTCTCCTGACTGGAACCATTTTCCTTCTGGTATGCCTGAATGTTCTGCTGGTTTCTCACAATAAGCAGCTATAGTGTTTAATTTCAGCATATTTGTGAGCCAGAACTACGGATAGTTGCCTTACAAATTTAACAAAAATATCACAGTCTGAAGTTTATGTTTCTGGGTAACCTGTTTGGCTTGGGGATGCTGGTTTTGGACTGCATGGTTCAGGCCTTTCTGGGGGTAGACGGTCACTAAGCAGCGTACTAAGGTAATTGGGTTATGTGATAGCTTCCTTTTGCCTGGGCAGCTCTGGACAAGCAGGAGTAACAAACATATTAAGGGTGTCTGTTGAATCCAGATTGTACACCAAGCATTTTCCAGAATGCCGTGAATGTATTGTCTCATTTAACTTTCACAAAGCTCTTGGAAGTCCATATAATTATTATCATCATCATCTTCCCTACATTATATATGCATGGGAACTCTGAGCTAAGTAAGCTAAGTACATTGACTCACTTGACCTTGGGTTCCAACAGTAAAGTATGGATCTCAGATGCAAACCCACACATTTGAATCAAGTCAGCGCCTTCTGCCCAACGCTGTACATGTTGCCAATCTCCTGTTTTTCTGTGAGTGTTGAAGAGCAGGCCTTGTTTTGAGTCCCACAGTGTCTTGAAGAGCTAATGGCAGAAAAGAATGGATTGCCAGAGGCACTAAGGATTGTGCTTTGGGTCTCATCCACGCCATCTCCCTTCTCTTCCCTGTTACAGTCACTCAAATACAAGGCATGAAAAAGTCTTGCTGAAATTTATAGAATGTGTGGGCCAAATCACACAGAAAAACTGTTATTTCTTCCACTGAGACCCATGGTTCACAATAGCAAATGGGAGCAAACCCTGTTGGCATTGTCTCAGTTCAAAGGCACCATTTCCCCATTCCTTTCAAATGGAGGAGAGTGGAAATTGACTAGTATACTAAGAGTGTGCTTGTTTGTAGTTGAACGTAGAGAGAGAAATATTAGGCTAATACACTTAATATCCAGTGTTTTCTGTAATTATTACTATCATCAGACTTGTGTGTATATTTTTTATTAGTAAAGACCTTTTGGCAAAGACCTAGTCTAAAATATAACTTCCTTTTTATTATTCATGGTTAAATCAATGAGAGCTATTTGGCAAGGGTTCAAAACTCTCTGTAACTTGGTGTTAGTAATACTTGATTTATAAGTGCACCCAAACGTCCAGTGCCCGCATGTATGTATGCTTACTAATTGCAGCCGTATGCATTGAGACATTTTGTTATTGGTAGGAAATGAAGCATAAAACATGAAAAATGTGTACTTATTAAGGAGTTGAAGTTGCCGTATTTAACTCTTTCCAGAGCTGTTACCATGAGTCTCTGATGGTTTTCATTTCAGCTGAGCAAGTTTTCTGGACAATTATGATTATCAGTTCCTTACCATTCTAATTATTGTCCAATTCTTCCTCTATGGGCATACTTGCATCAATCCATGGCAGTTTTTTTTTACAGCTACATGTTTTTTTCTCTCTTTTGGGGGTAACATTTATTTATTTTACTTGCCAGAATTGCAGAGAGAAGCTATAGGAGACACACACAAGAGAAATGCTCCATCCTCAATTGGTCATGATGGTCAGAGCTTACCCGGCCAAAGCCAGGAGCCAGGAACGACTTCCAGGTCTCCTACATGGGCGTAGCCGCTTTCCTTTAGCCATCCTCTGCTGCTTTCCCAGGCCAAAAGGCAGGGAACTAGACCAGAGTGGAGGAGCAAGGACCCAAACTGGCACTCCTGTGAGATGTTGGTGCCATAGCTGGAGGACTAGCCTGCCACACCACTGCACTCACTGGCCCAGTGGCACGCTTTTTCTTTGAGGTCATACTGACCTCCCAACTAGTGTACAGGTCAGCTCCTGCCTGAGAGATTGAAGCCCTGAGAATGTCTGTGAGAAAACTTTGTTTCCAGATGTTTTGAACCTGATCTTTATACAAAGAATTTTTGCATCTAATATTCATACCATCACTTGCTCATCATTGGACACATTTGCATGCATACTTCTAATAGTTCTGTGAAATGCGATCCCTTAATCATGTCTGAAATGTTTTTTAGACCATCCATGGACACAAAGGACCCATCACGGCAGTGGCCTTTGCTCCTGATGGACGCTACCTTGCCACCTACTCCAACACTGACAGCCACATCTCCTTCTGGCAGGTAAGAGTAGATGCGATAGGATCTTGATGTGGATATTGCATAATGATGTGCTTTAGGTGGAAAGGCTGCTAGTTGAACCTGCCTTCCAACCTGCCGTCCTGCCTGCTTCCGACAAGCACCAATTCCTGCTGATAGTGTGCCAGGCGCCAGCATGCAAGGTGCTGAAAACACAGCTAGCTACCTGGTCAGAGGGCCCTCTGCTGTCACGGAGCTTTCAGTCTAATGCAGACACCAAGAAATTAGCAGTCAGTGCAGAGGGGAACCCAATAATGAAGTTTGGGGAAGGCCTTCCAATGGAAGTGACGTCTAAGCTGAGATAGACCTGACCCCGCGGACGGACGGGGGTTCAGAGCACAGGTGCAGTGATCCAGCCATCAGCAGGGGCAGCATCTGCCCAAGATGAACTGGATATGAGAAGCCTTGTTCAGGCCTGCAGTGTCTACAAGGCTTTCCAGCCAGGTCCCTGGGTCTGTCGCGGTGGCATGCAGAGGAAAATGACAATTAGATATTCTTGCTATATTCCTTTCACATCATCATCATCTCTCTCTCTCTCTCTCTTTCTCTCTCCACTCTGATTTTCCCACATAATGTTCTGAATTCTCAAACCTTTCACTTTTAAACGCCTGCATTATCTTTGGCTGTCAGTCTATGTCGATGTCTGTTTAATTCTGATTAAAACAAATATTACTTTCGAACAACCAATATCTGCCATAGAATTTATTTTATCTTCAACACTTTGTTTCCATTCATTATTCTCTTCAGTTGCTGGATCTTTTAGTCCTGATAAGCATAGAAAACCAAGTATTGCCAATCCTCCCAACAAAGTTCAAAATTGTAAATTTTGTTATTACCTTTATTTTCCTGTGCTGCAAATGTGTTTTATGAGGTTCAGTTTATTACTTTGAAAAGTAAAAATAAAAGTTTAAGCAGAGCTTCAGCACAACTTGATGATAGCTTTAAAAAAATCAATAGCTAATAAAATGTAAAACGGATACCATAAATTGCTTAATTAACAACATGCTATTAAAGCATGACAACTTCCAAATCTGTCAGACTTTTTCTGCTTTCATTTAATCTCGGTTTTCCAGTTTCTTTTCTCATTATCCTTTCTTCCAGAATGAATCCCCAGCATCTTAATGAGCTCATCTTAAACTCCCTCCCAGTGTGTAACTTCATGACTAGTCTTTTCTAGGGAAATTGAACTGTGAGTCTAATGGGGTACCCCTCCGCACACTGTGGGAGACCGTGGGTCCTTACCACCTGCTGCCACTCGTATCTCACACAGCAATCCCTGCAGTGCCAACTGCACTCGGACACAAGCTTGTTCCCTCTTCTCGTGGACCCATAGAGGACCCAGTCGCTGTGCCTTGGGGATCTGCAGCTAGGGGACACATGGGCGTCAGTGCCTCGGAGCGGCTTGCCCCTTCTCCCTGCCTCCTTCTCTTCCATGGAAGAATTGAACTCTCTGCCTCTCTTTTTCTCTCCCTCTCTCTGTCACTGAGTCTTTTTTTTTTTTTTTTTTTTTTTTGGTATAAAAGAACTCAGAGCTGAAAATTTGCCCAGAATTTTTCTGGATTTTTTTACATGAAATTTTCTAAATAGTGCATTTATTTCCTCTCCCCTTGCCTGGCTCTGTGTGGCTCTCTATGGAGACAAGCATCCCTCCGTGGAATCCTGCTGTCAGGCATCCCTCCATGGGATACTGCTGTCTCTGCTCACGGATGGCGTTGTACTTAGAGGTCACGGCCACCATCAGATGGTGTCTTTCTAGCTGTGCATGATGAGATCCCGGCACAGTACCTTCGTCTTTAGCTCATCCACCCCAAGGACTGCCTTGTATCTTCTGGTGCCAGCAGACCAGAGCAGCTCAGACAGCAGCCTGTCTCACTTGACCATAAAACCACTGTTAGAATTTACAACGCACCCATTTCTTGGCTGCTCAAATTATACCCAGTTCAGTCTTGAAATTTAGAAAGAAGGCACAGAAACAGGTCATTTCAGATTATCAAGAAGATACAATGAAACCACTTCCAGAAGTGTTTTATCTGTTCAAAGAGTGTGCAGAAAGCAGTATTGGGTCTACTGCTGTTTTCCCCAATGGGCTTTGCTGATTTATTTAGATACATGTTATTTAGTTCTAATGATGTATGAGAATACTTTTATATTATTCCGGTAAGTGTGCTGTAATATATCTTGAAAACTTAATGAAGTCTTATTAATACAGAGTCTGGCTAAAGCTATCAGCTATTAAAATCTTTGCTGAGAAATGAGCGCTAATGAGAGCTGTTGGGTGGATAATTATTCAAGTAAGAGTAAAAGTACTGCAGCATCAGTTACGTTGAGGATAGCATGAAGAATTTCCTCCTTTGACGTATTATATCAGCATGGGTTTCTATAGGTTCAAAACCCGGTCTCCAACAAAACTGGTTTTGTGAATCTGTATCTTTGAAGAGAAGAGAAAAATCAAACTGCATTTTAGTTCATTTGCATGCCCAGTATTGGATCATATAATTTGGCAATCTGTCTAGTCCTGTGGTGCTCTCAGACTCTTACTGTTAAAGGCTTTCACTTTGGTGCACCCATTGTTATTTGGGCAAGGTGAAAGCTTGGTTGTGAAAGACATTCATGATTGTCTCCTATGAAATTTATCGCCACCATCTGTGAAATAAATAAGTATCCTCTCTCAGAAATGCTATTGATAAGTTAGATACATTGTAGTTTTATTTATTTTGGCGTATGAGAGAATACTACTCAGTCTTTTTTGTTGTTAAATTTTTATTTTGAATTTTTGAATTTATGGCACAATTTTGTAGAGACTGGGATTCTCCTCCTAATCCCTACCCCCCGACAGAATTTCCCACGTTGCTACAGTAGTATAGTCCTTCATAAGGAGTCATGATTCCATCAGTCTGTTATTGAAGTGTACCCTGTCATTGCTGGTACAATGTCAGACAGTCCAGCATCCCATTGTCTACACATGTCCCACAGTTCCATTGGGACTCCATGTTTGATTTGGAAGCAGGGATGCAGATTGCACTGTATCCCCACATCTGGATATGGTAGTCTCTATTACTCCATCACTATAAATTCCCATAAATGAGAAGTCATGAACTAAGGTCAACAACTGATATGAATCAGAACAACAGCAAAGTTATAACACCATGAAAAAAAAGTGCCATTGAGTAACCAATGCATGGATGACCAAAAGAAAACACAAAAGTCTCTTGGGTAAAATGATGCAACTGTGTAATCTATGAGCCAGCGATGAATTCGACAAGAGAAAAGAAAATATTTGGAAGAAATGAAACTGAAATCAAAAACATCAAAACACATGGGATGCAGCCACAAAAAAACAGTATGGTACGGGTTATTGAAGTTACACTTTGCATGATGGTCTCCTTATATTAGAGAGAACATATGGTGTTTGTTCTTTTGGAATTGACTTATTTCACTGAGCAAAATGGTCTCTAGTTAGGACCATCTAATTGCAAATGGTATAATTTCATTCTTCTTAATAGCTGAGTAATATTCCATGGAGTAGATCAAGGCCCTAAATCTACACCCAGAAATCATCAAACCCCTAAAGGAAAACATGGGAAGCACTCTCCAAGATATAGGAACAGGGAAAGACTTACTAGAAAATACCAAAAGCACAGGCCGTCAAAGCCCAAGGGAACAAATGGGATTATATTAAACTCAAAAGCTTCTGTACAGCAAAGGGAACAGTTAACAAAGTGAAGAGGCAACCAACAGAATGGGAGAAAATTCTTGCATTGCACACTACACAAGTGATAGGGGACTAATATCCAGGATATATAAAGAGCTTCAGAAACCCTGGGACAGTAAAAGCAACAACAACAAAAAAAACTGTGAAAAATGGGCAAAGCAAATGAACAGGCATTTTTCAAAAGAACAGATTCAAATGGCTAACAGACATATGAAAAGATGCTCAGGCTCCCTAGCCATCAGAGAGACAAATGAAAACCACTTTGAGGTACCACCTAACTCCAGTGAGACTGACCTACATTCAGAACTCAACTAACAACACCTGCTGGCGTGGATGTGGGGAGAAAGGCACCCTCCTTCACTGTTGGTGGGAGTGTAGGCTAGTACAACCACTGTGGAAATCAGTATGGAGAGTGCCTGGAGAATTGCAAGTAAACCTGCCATATGACCCAGCTATCCCACTCCTAGGAATATACCCAAAAGAAATGAAATCTGCATATGAGAAGGGGATCTGCAATCCCATATTTACAGCAGCACGATCCACAAGAGCAAAGACATGGGAACGATCCAGATGTGCATCAAAGAAGAGTGATTAAAGAAACTGTGGTACATCTACTCAATGGAATATTACTTAGTCTTTTTAAAAGAATTATATAGATCTGAAATTATTAATGTGAAAATATTGCCCCCAACATTTTCTTCAATGAAAACTCAGATTGTTATGATATCATTTAATAATAGACCTATTTATGTGAGAAAAAAAAAAGAACCTTAAAACTACTTCTCTTCATACAGATGTATACACAGGTCTGGATGTTTGTGGCTTTTCAAAAATATTTATTTATTTATATGTATGTATGTTTATTATTTGAAAGGCAGTTCAGAGAGAGGAGGAGACACAGAGTAATCTTCACCCACTGGTTCACTCCTCAAACGGCCAGAATGGCCCGATATAGACCATCCATAAGCCAAGGACCTGGAACTTCCTCTGTGTCTCACAGAAGAAGTGCAGGGGTCCAAGGACTTGGGCTACCCTCTGCTGCTCTCCCAGGAGCATTAGCAGGGAGTGCAGCAGGAAGTGGAGCCACCAGGACTCAAACCAGTGCCCATATAGGATGCTGGCATCACAGGCAGAGCCTTTAACTCACTATGCTATGGTGCCAGGCTCCATGAATGTTTGGTTTTTTTAACCAACATCACAGATTGTCTCTGGGAAATAAGATGCTAAGAGTTTTCTGCTTTTTCATTTTTATGTTTCTCTTTATTTTTTTAATTCTCTCCCCACCCCCCATGCATGATTATTGTCTTTTGGATCAAGAAGAAAAACAATATGGTCGAGTCTTATAATTCTGTGTGGTTTCCATTCATGCAAGACTTAAGTTGCTCTTTCTTTGGCATAATTTGCATGAAATCAAGGAAACACTAATATTGAAGAAAAAAAAATGATTGATTGTTGTACCCCAGCAGCTTTTATATTTTTGTGAAAAGTACATGAAGAATAAAAACATTTTATGTCATTTTTCAACTTAGAAACTAGATCTTTTAAAAATCACTCCTGGCTTGCCTGTTGACACCAGTTAATATGAAGCAGCAATTTTCTGGGCCAACTGAGTGTGTTCTGCAAGAGAACTACATTATTATTTACTGTTACTTTTTGTAGATGTGCGGACTATCAAGTCAGGCCTGGCAAGCCACTAGGGAACCTCCAGAAAACAATAGGGCATTGATTTTTACCTTTTGTGAAATTTGTGGGAAGATGAAGGAAGGAAACAAGAAATGACAGTTGAGGTGACAGTAAGGACCTCGTTGGCTCGCGCTGCGGACCGAGCATGAGCAGAAGGAGTTAACGATAATCCTGCATTTGGCTTTAAGATGTGACCTCGCACACTAGTGATTTTTTTTCACCTCTGTGTTGTGTTCGGCACTATTATTAATGCAGGAAAATCAGTAACATTAGTCATCTTAAAAGGGTTATTACTCAAGATGATTTAAATTGTGAAAATGTCAGTGGAGCCTGCACACACTCGGCTAGAGATGCCATGATTTACACCCTCTGACACCATCCTGCTGCCGAGAAGAGTTGAAAATGGAATGGCTTGTAGTTTGTGCTGATCCACATGCAAGGCGTGATATCAGCGGCAACACTTCTTCAGTGTCCTAGGATTTGCTGGAGGTTCGCGTAGCCACCACCTGTCTATGCTGGATCATCTTCTGTATGCTCCCTGCCAGAGCCCAGCATCACAGGCAGGTAGACGGGCAGCCTTTCTGGAGAGAACTGAAAGTGGACAGTTAGTGCAAAGGAAATAAGTAGGACTTCAGAAGCCACTTTTCTTCTTTCTACTTTGCCCGTGCTGTGATCTGTAATGGCACAAATGACATGTCTTAAGAACATTTGAAGCAACCCTGAGAACTTAAAAGGCGCCTTCAGTCACAGTCACTCAGAAAATAGTTCATTGAGGTGGTTGCCATTCACTATTAACCTCTTTGACGTTTGAACCTGATTGTTCATGAGTCATAATTTCCATGGTAGTTTTCATTCATGTGAGCAGACTAAGAGAAATTAAAATTTGAGTCGACTCCAGAGAAACTGCCAAAACCCAGAAATCACCAACTAGTAAAAGTCAGTGAGGTATTAAGAATATACTGTCTTTGACCTGGTAACCAAAGAGTGAGTCCCAGAGATAGTGTTGAGATGATGTCATTGCTTGCTTTTTTTTTTCTTTCAAAATAAGCCAGAGCTTTCAAGAGATGGCGTTTGTGCCAAGCAAGCGGAGAGTGAAAGTGCCAGTATATGAGGGGGTCGGCGCTTTGACTCAGTAGTCTGAATTCCGTTTCAAATTTTCAAACTCATCATGAACTCTGGGCTTAGTCTTCATCCTTGCAATGATGCAGTTGGCGTTGCCGTCAGTGAATGAAAAAAGTCTATGGTTTAAATAGCTCTGATTTCCAAATGCCATGTAATCGAATCATGTATTAATAGCTGCAGTTTAGCTCCTTTGCTAAAAGTTGATGGATTCTTCCTAACTGCCGAGTGCGCCTATAGAGTAAAATTTCTCTAGACCTATGCACGACCGTTAACATCAGAACAATTCCAAATATGCTGAAAGAAATGCTTCTGAGGTCCAGTGGAACCCTCAGGTGACCACGAAGAGCCCTTAAGGGGGAGGAAGTGAGCAAATGTGCAGCTAAAGGGTTCTGTTTAGTGACGTGCGTGCTCTCTTGTCCCCCGTTCCTCCAGATGAACACATCACTGCTGGGAAGCATTGGCATGCTGAACTCGGCACCTCAGCTGCGCTGCATTAAAACCTACCAGGTGCCCCCCGTGCAGCCGGCCTCACCTGGCTCCCACAACGCCCTCAGACTGGCACGGCTCATCTGGACTTCCAACCGCAACGTCATCCTCATGGCGCACGACGGCAAGGAGCACCGCTTCATGGTGTAGAGCCGGCATCTGGCGCCCTAACTGCGTTTTAGTTCTCTACATTCTCTAGGCTGCCATCACCCTGTCCCTGCACTGGGCCTTCTGACCCTGGTGTTGTGCGAGGGTGCGGCCAGGTGTGTGTCACTTGCGCATGCCCCTCAGGGGCAGACCCTCACACAGGCCACCTATCGATTCCGAGGCGCGCACACTGTTCTAGAGGATGCGGCCGCTCTGTCACTCGGTAGGTTTTCCCTGCCAGCGAGGGGAGGGAGAGTCGGCGGTTCCTGGGAACGCTCTTGTCGCTTGGCGCAACAGAAGCCCAAAAATCAATAACCACTGTGATCGCACTCCCAGCCCCAGTCAGTGTTGCAGCCACGAAGCCGCTGCTCTGAGGCACTGCTCGTATCCGGATCTGACATGGGCGTCGAGGTGATGTGGCGGCCCTCGTTATTGCGATTATTCCCCTCTGATTTTCCTGAAGCATACCATTGTTTACCAAAAAGATTGTGTGTTTACGGGCTGTTTCCTTCTGGTGATTGCTGGGAAATCCCTCGATCTAGTTTGCTAGGGTTTAGCCACTACCTTCTCGGTTAATACCCAGCCAATTTAAGTTAATGAGAAAATGCACGCTAACAATTTTTTTCCCTCGTAGAAAATACGATTTTCTAGTCTCTTAGCCTTTTAAAGTATTCGTATCCTGATTAAATGACAGTTTATTTAGTAGGCTTAAAATAAGGCTCATCATCACCTCCAATCAATTGATATAATTATCGAGGCGCTATCACTAATCTCTTAGAGCTGCTCTGATGGAAGCATGGCCGAGCTCTAAAATGAAGACCTTGTAATTCTTTGCTGAGATAGTTTTCGTTCGGACAGCTTTTCCCTTCCCTACAGAAGCCTGACAAAGCCGTGCCTCCTGAGTGTATGACCCATGTCCATGATCGTGTGATAGACAGCTCAGCTTTCAAAGCCCTACTGATGAATTAAAGTGAAGCAAAGAAGGCATATCTCCAAAAACAAGTAACCTAGAAGTTTAGCAACTCTGGCACAGCATCTTGTATGCACAGTTTATTTAAATACAGGAGTGTATATAAAAACGCGCGGTTCTCGATTCGTTTGTACAGTCGTTGCAATGAATGTGTTCTTCAGCTAGATCACTTTCTTCTTGTTATATCAAATTATGCTGATTCCTGCTTATAGCGATGGGGAAAAATCCACGAATGTAGCGATGGGAAAAAATGCACAAGCTAATATTTTGCATGAAGTACTCCTATCAGACCTTGAGCTGTACATGGTTGTGGGTTTTGTAGATTGGGTGGCTGTTGGTTGTTTCAGTAGTTGGAAAGAGTGATATGAAATTGAGAGGAAAAATTACAAAGTTTATAGAGGAAGCAAAACGATAATGGAAGCATTTAATCTGAAAAGCATAGCTTGTCAAAATGTATGTAATAAGCAGAAAAGTAATATCAGAGTCCAGGAGCAAATACATTCAGTTATTTTACAGAAATAGATTTTTAAGGAACATATTTAAGAAGTTAGTATCAATAGGTTGTCCCTCCCATTTGAACATGAAATGTGTTCTTTCCTGTGACGGCAAATCTGTACTAAGCCCTTGGTTTTAGACATTGGGTATTCCCTCAAAGTGAATGTATGCCACATGCATGTCTGTTGTGTTTGTAATGGTGAAGTGTGTAGTTTCCAAGGAAGACACAAACAACTCTCCAGCATGGACCGTGTGTGCTCCGTGACCCTGCTGTGCTGTGTGGATAGTTAGAGCCACAGGGCGTGAGCCGAAAGCTGCACTTGATCTATCCTGTCTGCACTCAGCATGTCTTTACTTTGTGGAAGTTAATTTATTCTAGATCACAAACTACCTGGAATATTGTAGAGTTGTTTTTTTTTAATCAAAATGTCCTACAGGGGAGGAGGAAGGTGTGGGGTGGGTAGGTAACCAGAGATGCATTGGTGGAACCCCTGTGGCAACGAAGAGCTGTGAAGACCTCGGGAGTGAAACTCTGGATGCTGGACACACACCGGGGTCCTGTCTGCTCGGCCGGGCGAACATGCTGCCTGCACAGAGGCTGGCACCTGATGGCTAGACAGGCAGCCCTGACTCCAAAGCGCACAGTTGCATCCTTGTTAGGAGCGGCATCTCCATGGCTTCCTTCACGGCTGCCGTCCCAGACCTCCTCCCAGCTCAGATTTCTCAACACTGATGCAAACTTGGTATTGTCATCCTAGCGTACATGGTTAGTGTTTTATTGATTTCATTGGCACTGTGTTTGGACCTGTCCTTGTAAACAGAGACACATGTGGCTTCAGTGGTAAATTTACAAGCAAAAGATGACATGACGTGACACCTGTATGAAAATGTTGCAATGGTTGAACCCACTGTGTACAGCAACCGAATTAAAATGTCGGCCTCTCAAGGCATTTCTGGAGGAGTCCACTTAATACATTCTATGTGTACTGAATGTCCCCACGTACATACATGTGATCATTAAAATGGAATTGTACTGAAGAGATGGTGTTCCTCCGTGGTTACTTTTTCCTGGGTTCACGCTCAAGCAGTCTCAGTGAGCATCCATAGGCTCTGCCTACCCTTCTGTTTCCTATCCCTCATTCCCGTGGGAACCAGCCCCAGGAAAGGCACGGCAGAACATGGGGAAGAAACCCTTCACGTGGCAGAAGCCTGAGATCTGCAGGTGGAGAGCATGTCCCCACCGGAAACTCAGCAGCACCCCCTGCGGCTTGGGCAGCAGAACTGCACAAGTTGCTGTTACACAGACTGTTAATTGTCAGATGGGATGACATGAGTTGGCTGCCTCACATGGGAACAAGGTTGAGCTCATTAACATTCATTTCATTTGATACTCAGTTTGAAGTGGCACTGGAGTCCCTAAGGTAAAGGATGTAATTGTTTTTCAGGAAAAGTAAGAATAGGCAAAAGAAGTCCTCCTGATTCACACATGTTGCTGTTCTTCTTTTAATTCTTTCAGATAGACATAGAACGGTTTGAGTTGAGTCGACCATCAGGTAACAGCTTGGTTCTCTGTAAGAATGAGACAGACATGCTAACATCCGGGAGTGAACCCATCAAACGCCCAGTGTCAGGTCTGGGAATTGTTATAACATTTCCCAATGACTCCAGTGTATCCTTATAGGGAAAGTAGGGGCAGTCACTGCCCTGTATGATTGGTGATCACATAAACTGATCAGATGTGGAAAGGGCATGACATTAATAGGAAGGTAAAGCCAGGCAGTGCCGGCTGAACTTTGACCTCTCACCTCTGGGGCTGACTGACAGTGCCGAGTATTGGGGAAAATCAATACTTTGGAGCCAGGAGGGAAATATTTCCACCCTCTAACTAGAGAATGTATTTTGACAAGGCCGAGATAATCCAAGCTGCACAGGAGGCAGAGAAAAGAAGACTCATTTTTAAAGCTTGACACTTGAAGGTGTTTTTGTGCAATGGTTTAGAGCTCGTCAATACGCTCTCAAATACCAAAGGTCAAAGAGAAAAAGCCAGAAGAATTTCAAAAATTAGATGTTTACTTCTTCCTGCTGTTTACAAATAAAAAAGGAGAAGAAGAAGAAAGCTCACCGAGAGGTTTATACTTGTAGTTATTTAAATACTCAAGTTCACAGTTGTGGGCTTCTGGATGATCTTCCCCTCTGTAATCAAACCTTAAATTTTGACAAGCAAGCACTGTGAGTGTGGCGTGCCTAGAGGTGAGCAGACGTCTTGCTGCCATGCGCTTTGGGGGACGTGAATTATTTTGTGAGTGGTTACATCATTTTGCGCTAATGTCTCAGAATCTCGGGCTGCAATCCCCGTTGATCCCACCAAGCTGGCGTCGTAAATCTCTGGCCCTCTAACTCATTTGCTTCAATCATTTGCAGAAAAGAGTCTCGGCTCCCTTTAGCACTTCAGTGCTTACTGGTTTTTGTGGTCTTTTCAAGCAAATTATTTGTAAAGGTATTCTAATTAGTTCCCCTCTAAGGGAGGAGCTTATATACCTCTAGGAAAGAGATAGCAAATCATTCTCCCCAGCAACGATGGATTCATTGTTTCTGTGGACACACACCTCCATCAAGTGGATATATTCTTTTTTTTTTCCCCTGCGGATAAGGCAGTGGGAAAAAGGTGACCAGTGCCCGTATAACTTTCAGACAAGCTCACGAGGACAAAAGAATCCTCAATATTTAAATTAACCCTCATGAACAAGCCTCATTAAGCCTAGGGTAAGTAGACGCTAATCATGGTTATTAAAACTACAATCAAGTCCACAACATAGTCTTCTCTTTCTAATTAATAAACTTCACTCTGAGGATAAATATCGGCCTGGATTGTTTTAAATTTTGTTTCCAAAGGTGAACAAAGCCAGCCAAGACTTCAGAGGTCTGAGATTCTTAGAGGACCAAGGATCTAGCACCAGTATGTGCCTGACGTGTAGTATGTTCCTCTCGGGAGGAAAATGTGCAGCATTTGTTAAACTCAGGAGATTGCATCTGCAAGGTGCTTGCAGAAACAGGACACAGTCATTAGTCAATAGATGGATGACTTCTAGGAGCCCTTCGTGAGCATGGAGAGAAAGGTGACCTTTCTTGGGGGAACATCGTCAGATTTTTTGTTTCGTGTTGGTTTTTCATCTCTGGGTTTCCATCATAGCTTGAAGTATCCTATCCAAAGGAGAACCTCAGCGTCTTTGTCATGTTGCTGTGTGTTGCCATTTTGGTTCTTAGCAAAGTTTGTAGGCATGAAGAAATCTCAGATACATCCCGGTGTGTAGCCTGGCTGGTGATGGCTGAAGTCAAGGCTGGTTTTCTTTCGGAAGAAGAAAGTGTGTGATTTGTGGTGCAGAGAATTCTGCTGCTGCTTGTGAAGCTCACGTTCCCTTATCAACTACACTCTCCTGTCAGAGTGTCGGCTCAAGCCCTGGCTACTCCTGATCCAGCTACCCAGCTACACCTGGGAGGTGACAGGCGGCTCCAGTGCCTGGGCTTGTCACACCCACGTGGGAGACGCAGGATGACTTCCAGCACACTGAACAGTTTCACAGCTGTTGCAGGCATTTGGGGCATGAACCAGGGACTGGAGGAGAATCTCTCTCTTTACTCTCACTCTCCTCCCCTTCCCCAACTTTCAAGTAGTTGTAAATAATGAAACCTTTTCAAAAGCAGATCATCACATCCATTTTAAGACTCTCTTTCACACAAAGGATGACTTTGAGTTATTTCATGTCTTCCAAATACATAACTATGAAGGTTGCACAAAGCTGAAGTGTCATGGATCGATTGCATGGCATCACCAAAGCAAAGCACACTGGGTATATGGGTTCTGTTGTCAATATCTTGTTTGGACCAATGTCAGAATGACTTGACACTTCCACTTGCCCAAATGCAAAAATGTGTTCTCTAAAACTTGATCCATCCAATGACACTCGTCCTGAAAATATATGAAAAAGATACAGTAATGAAACATCGCTATCCAATCCTAGAACGCGTACTGAAACTTCCTATTTGTCATATGTTCTGTGTTCTCATTTCCCCTTGCTGGTGCACTCACTCTCTAACAAAGGACCTTAACACAAAGGAGTAAGTGCTGAGGTCAATGAGGTGAGGAGTGATCACTCTGCTTGGGGGCGTGTCAACTCAGCCTTGGCTGGGAGGAAGCCTCAGGGGTGGGTGTGGAAGAATAGAGAATAATTAGGATGACTGCGGAGGGACACAAGAGATCTTCCTGGGACCAGGGAGGGCATGGACTCCTTCAGACCTACATGCTGAAAGGCGCTCCCAAAAATCCTGACAGCTCTTCACTGGCAGCTATTGAAAACCATACTGTTGAGATCCGCCATGCGGAAAGCCTAAGTAAAGATTTCTGTCTCTTAATTCTTCCCCGTGTTCCACCATCTTTTACAAAGAAGCACACTTTTTTCCTTAAAGCATGCCTTGCCCACTCCTTGCACTGCGTATGGCCAGCACAAAAGCTGGATGTTGGACAGACTGTGCTGCCTGCTCCCCGCCCCATCCCGCTTCCAGTCCCTCACTTCCCACCCCAGGATTGAAGGATGCATTCCTCCAGAGGCTGGGGGCGTGCACAGCCAAGTTCCCTCCTGAATCGTCTTCTAGAGACTGCTGCCCAGCCCAGAGAGCTGCTTTCCCCAAAGTCATGCTCCCTTTTCTGAGGATGAGTGGGCACATCCCAAGGGCAGGCAAGAGCAAAGGCACAGAGCTCCATTCCACAACCTCTTGGAAGGGCCATCCTTGTTCTAGAACTCCCTTTAGATCTTCCTGCAACTGCATTACTGCCCAGCTTTTTCTGCCCTTAGAACTATTTATCTGAGAGAATTGCTCCAGGAAGTCCCAATATGCAGATCTCTTTCCCTTCCTGTTTTTCAGCTTTCATTCTAGAAAATCCAACCCAGGATAGTTGATGCAGGGTTGGTCCAAGAAAACAGAATTTAAAATGGGGTTTGGGAACTGGGATACCCACTGACCCTGGCCGTCAAGGGTCTATCACTGGTGGCACTCTCAGGAGTAGCCCATGGCACAGTGCAGGCTGTGTACTCGAGCAAGCTCTCATCATGAGACTTGGGGTGACATATGGATAGCAGCGGGCTTCCTGGCGGGCACAGTGTGCAAATATCTAAGAAGTCAAAGCAGATGGAAGTGATCAGCACAATAGACTCAGGATGCTGAAAGCACTGGAAAGAAGAATGAGAAATGGAGGTTGATGCGTCATGAGTTAAAGGTAAGACAGGAAAGACTTCTTGGCATCCTCTTCGGAAAGCCTCACCTAAAATCAAAGACAGGCTGGGGAGCAGGAGAAAGGGATCCACCAAGCACCAGATGGGTGACTTCTTAGCTCTTGGGAGTCTGTTGACTGCCCCGAGGGCTGAGGCTGTCATGGCACATGATGAGGCTCCCTGGGGTGACTCAAGCAACCCCTGGGTGAACACTCTGGTGAACCCTTCCCGGCCCTGCCTGAGTAGCTGCTCCTCTTAAAAGCAGGTGACTCATAATGATGCTTCCCCGAGTGCCCTGCCTCCTCTGCCAGCCTTCAGACCCATAAACCATAGCCACACTGTGGTCTGAGCCTGCCAAGAGGAAAAGAAATATATTCCAAGGGAGCCTGGGACCTTGTCCAGAGGACCTTATGGAAACTGAGGCATGGGTCAAGATAGAGACAAGGGCAAATCCACTGTCAGAGAATTTGACACCCAAGCCTGGACACTCAGGCACAAGGTACCTGCTGCTAGGAAGCTGCTCCACTGGGAGAATGGTGGATCAGGCTACATCCAGAGGAACTACCAGGACACTGATGGCAGGTGGTAGAGCAAAGAGCCAGAAAACTGAGTTAGAACTACTGGAATAGATTGTTAGGTACACAGCTGGAAATGCAGCAGATGCCTTTGCTTTGGCAGAGGGCTTGGAGGACATGTGGTCAGCAAGCAATAAACAACATGTTGGAAGGATACCAGTTGGCCCAGGAGGGTGGAAAAGGCCATTACAGACCT